AAAGCTAAAATGTAAATTTTACTTATATTGATTGTAGAATTTACGTCATACGTAATTTTTTCACGGAAATATATTAACCATTGTACAGAATAACATTATCATAAAAATCTTTAATATGCTTATGTGATGCGCGTCATCGGTGCGTGTGATTGCACTGGCATGCATAAACATTAAAGACATTTAAATTCAGTTTTAAACTTTCAATTTAATTTAAATCTTAAACTTTAAAGATGGTTTTCAATAAAGATTTCCGTTATAATCAATGATCAGTGCAAGAAATTACGCATGTGTTTCGAAGTTCGGAAACATCGTGTAAGCAAGAAATGAAATCCCCAAATTCATACAACGTAACTACGGCCCTCTTGTTTCTAGGGGTTTATTGAACCTTTTGAGCAGGCGGTGACTCAACAAATCTCAGTGCTTTTATCGAGTTTCCCCTTTCTCGTAGTTGAATATTCAATAAATATCATACCATTCTATTATGGAACCTTGAAAAATGGCATTATGAATAAATAAGTGTCTCCAAAAACACGGCACCACATTTGTTCGAATCAATGTGGCAAACACTTGATGCCCAACTGTCGCTTAAATGAATCTAAAGGTTGAAAACCGCCATGTTCAGTCTGTTTATTGTAAAAGGCGTTGAGTCATATGACATATTGATCAATGTCGTTCTGTAGTCAGCAGTGTGAGTCAATAGGCTATGAGGTTCCTCCGTATGCCGCACTGCTTGACTTACAAGATGATCAACATTGCCATGTCGTTCATTCGAGCGTCATCTGTCCTCAGGCATGGCTCAGCATTGCAATTGTCTTCTTTATTCTCCACTTCTTCTTTTATCATGATAAAATTCTTCTCATTCCATTTCATCGAAGAATATGCCGCATTCCGAGGAATCATTCCACCAGAATCGAATCAAATGCGCACTTGGACTTCAGTCCCCCTGTCGAGGCCGGATCCCGCTATTCATGCAGCTCTTATAATACCATAATATTTTCTGAGACATTTCACTTTCATTGATCCAAGTCACGTTCTGTCATACTTCTTCATCCGGTTGTCCACGAAATGCTGCAAAAGATTTATTGAATCACCCAAATCCTACATAGCCATCAGCCATAGCAAATCATCTAATGATCACTGTAGAGTAACTGCAAAATGTACCGTGTATGAAATGGATTGAGTTTCAAGCACGAAGCCAATTGGTGTGAAGGCAATGCTCAGCGAAAACGGTATTGGAAGAAGAAAGGATTACTGGTCAGGCGGAAAAAGTTTCAGACCGCTGTCATACTCGTTCAAGGAAGGTAGAACACTGGAACAACAAGCCAGTTTTCGAAACCTCGCTCAGGCGGCAAGTACGCTGGTAGATTTGAACTGCGAACTCCCGCGCTCGCCTCGACGAATAAACGAATAAAACCAATCGCAACCTCATCGAGTGCTAAAGAACTCGGTGCGTTTCATGCGTCAAAAACTAGAAGAAGCGACCACCGGTGCAGCTGCGGTTGCTGGTCTGGAGGCAAGCATTCTTCGTGCTGCGCTGTTGGGACCGGATTTTGGCAGGCCGAGTCAGTGCGTGAGTGAGTGCTTGGTTTAGCGTTGATCTGCAACGACGTCAGACGACAGATGTTCGACAAAAGCGTCCCTGTGTCGAGTGATTTCATCTGATCGCATTGACGTACGCCATGCTCGTTGTCGTTCTTTGGCCGCTGTCTTCGTCTGATCGAAAGATTTTTAGAAGCAAACGCCTGCCGGCAAGAGCCTCCGTCTCCTCAGGGCGAAGAGCTACGAGCTGCGCAAAGCAATGAAGGTCGACTGACAATCGACCACCGTGTCATCGGGGCAACGATGTGCTGGTAAACTGCTCCGCTCCAATTTCTTTTCCCTTGGTCAGAAAGGCCCCAAAAATTGAATGGACTATTTTCTTACTTTTTTTTCTTTTTTTGCTTCTTCTTAGCACACCAATTTACACTGCTCAAAATTTCTGTCCCCCTCCCCCCTCCTTCGACATCATTCTTCACCATGCCATGCCGCATTTTCTTTGGTTAACCTGATGCTCTGAACCTTTCCTTTGGACCACGTGCCCTGCCTGCTTATGATATCTTCTTTCTTGTCACATCGAAACGACACAACCTTCTTTCGATCCACTTCCTTGGTCACGGGGTCACGTTCGACGTGTCCCTGAATATGATCTGATTTCAGCTTCATATTCAATACATATCCTACTGCCGCATAGATATTTCTTTAGTTTGCTGGGCGTTTTTCGTTA